CGATTCTCGCAGCCAGAACACTGATTGTTGTTTTGCTTTTTTTTTTTAATTTTTTTTGGTTAAGTGGAAATTCAACATACCTAAATGAACTAGTATGAAGCTGATACATGGTAGGACAATTGTCAGCTCGTAGGATATTGATTACATTGAAAAAGGATGAAGATTTTTATTGACAATTGAATTTTAGTTGACAACTCGTATTTTCCACTGCAGGGTAATTTTTTAGTTGTACACAATCATTTGTTTGCAATTTGTCTGTCGAGAAATCAAGAAAGTCACCCACCACATTGCAAGTTCTCTCATACCGACTGCAACAACTGCACTTTTGCGCACTCGAAACATCGATTTGATGAGTCATCTCCCATAGAGTCGTGACTTGACACTAAATGAGTTCTTCTTATTTCCTCACGTAAACGGTCTACGGCTTTCGAAACCGGAAGAGGCGGTTCATGCTTTTAAAACATATGTTTTGAGGATATTTCAATCAGAGTAGCAAAAGCGCTTTCATAATTTCTTGAAATGTATGCTATATAATATTATGAAAACCATTAAATCGGTCTACGCTTATTAATATTTGTTTTTGTTCTCTAATCCCAAAACATAAAAGACAACTCTCGTATGAGATAGGGGCGAACCTAAGTACCATTTTACTGAGCTGGCCTACACCATTACGATCACTTGAAGCCTTTTGAAAATAGCTCATTTTGGGCAATTTTTCATACTTTTCTTTTCATTTTTAAGGCAGTCATTGCCAAAGTTAAACCAGATTGAATATTTCTCCTTTTAAAGGAAACAAAAACTACATCATACATATAGGCATATATATAATCGGATATTTTATACACTTTTCTACGCGAATTTTTGCAAAGTAGTATATCCTGGTACAAGGTGAAAATAGCTTAATAATGCATTATTTATGTTCACAAAAATAATAGCAATGCAGATTTTTCTTCACCACGAAGTATCTCAATGTCAACGCCAATACGCGAGTAAATCATGACGAAAAAAAAACGGAATTCAAATTTTGTATATGTAAAGGAGTATGCAAATGCGGCTCAATAGCGTTTCGGTGTTGAGTTAACAAATAAAATGAGCATTCATAAGGGTCACAAAAGTAACACACAAAGATGACAGTGGTAAAGACCAAAGGCAGTAAATGTAAAAGCACGAGAAGAAATGCTAAGCGTTTACATTATTCTAGTATTCTTCCAACACAAAATATCAACCTTCACTTTCTTGCCTTTTTCACGGTATTTACATTATTGTTTGTTCTGCTTTGTTATCGGCCAAACATTGTCAATGAATTAAATATCAACGCAAAGGCAATACGACGAGTAAATTTCCTATTCAAAAGGAAAATTGTATACCCTTGAGAGTGGCTCACAGCTGTGAACCATTGAGAATTCAGAAAAGAGTAAGGAGCGGGTTGACATTGAAATGTGAGAAAAATTGAAAATAAAAAACGAATCAAATTAAAAGCCACGCATAATAGAGGGCAGAAAGGAGAAAATGGCACAAATGTCATATTGTCGTGGGAAATGTCTCCTTTTATGTTTATTTTTTCTTTTGCAACGTTTCTTTGAGTGATTTGCTTGCTTACATTTTTCCATGCAAATGAATGAACGGAAGAGTATTAAATATTCTAAGAGTGAAGTAAATAAAAATGCTTGCATAATTCTGAAAGTGAAATTGCACAATATTCAGTCATTTCACTAGAACAGTCAATGGCATTCCACGAGGCCTACAGATTAACTTTTTCCAACAAGTGTGTGCGTGAAAACGATGGTAAGAGGATTCTTAATGGTTAATACTTTCGTATTTGGGTATGTTTAAAGCGAGCTACACCTTAAGCTCTATATCCCGCGAATTGTTTTAGACAAGTATTAAAATTAAAGCAAATAATAAATGCTAAACCCAATCTGTTTGGTAAGACAGCAGCTGAAATGCTCCAGTTCCTAAAGGGTGTAAGCTTGGTGCACAAGCAGAAGCCACAACGCTAAAATGTATTTATCAGAAATATGCGCTCCCTCCTACCCCCAAAGTTTAGCCAATGTACAATACGTATGTACAATTAATTTCAATACACTTACAAAGAGGAGATGCCTCGACATCACACCAAGAGCTAATGAGAGTATAGCTCTATGAAAGTAATAGTTTACTCTGTATACAGTCTGCACTGTGAAACAGTAATTTAGTGGTACAGAAGTATGCCAGAACTTTAAGTATATCTCTCTGGTGCACTGACTTAAACTATATTTGAAGACGTCGAAGCATATAAGGTACCACCAGTGGCGTAAGGCGGTTCGTCTGCCTTTTCAATGTCTCCTACATCTGTAAGTACTGCGATTCAAAGGATATTCACTATGCTTAACCGCTATGGTCTGTACCTTCCCTGCATGGAAAAATAGTAGTTATTGACTAGAATCGAACAAGATTACATTTTTACACCAACTATTTCGTCTTTCATCTATTTTCCATGTAAGTAACAGTTCTTTTTAACACAGCAATGTCCTACGAACTTTCATTTGTCAATCTATGCCTCAGCTTCATACCAGTTGAGTTGCGAAGTTCATATACTATATCAATTAATATACTGGTTCGTTTATAGTAGTTCAGAACTAGTTCGCCTCAGATCAGTCTGCATTGTACTAGTCAAAAACCACTTTGATTGTTACTTGTTTCCTTACAATACTCCCAATCGGTTTTCGGGGAACATTGCGGGAGTGGCAGTCCTTGGCCGGATTAAAAATTATCTAAGGACAGGCATGCCTCACCACGGGTTGACTCTTTAGCTTCTAACCCGAGGTACGGAATAATGTGTATGGCATATGCTGCAAGTTGGTAGTTCTAGTTAGATTGAGTTTGTACGCAAAATTCTAGTTCATGTACCAGAATTTATCCAAACTGATTCTGAGTTTACCGCAAAATACCAGTATAATTCTAGTTAATGGCAAACTATTTTTTTTTTGCCTTTAATTACTAGTATAATTCTGGTTTAAAACAACTTAGTATGATCTTGTCTCCAAAATACTATTATTTAACTAGTTTTTGCATACAATACTACCTTTTCCCGGGGAGGGTCTCTCTTAATAGTTTTCATTGCCGCTTGGCAGTATACCAGAGTTCTGACGTATTTTTCCATTTAAATAGTTCGCCTTTTGTTATGCTTACAACCTCTGCTTTGAAGTTGAGTTGTAGTCATTTAGCTTGAAGCTATTATAGATATTATTATACAAATAAGTACCAACTCCTTGTGAAGGTCTTTCTATGTGGCGTAGAGTCTTACATTTTTCCACTCTGCGCCATCTGCTGCATTAATTGCTGTTCATCTACAATATTTACACAGCTTATTTCTCGCATTCATTATCTTTATGCTAAACTCTGCTTTCACCGGCCACTTATGTCTTTCGTATCGAATAAAAGCTCTAGAAAAATCACGAATGAATCGAAGTTAAATGGGAAAAGCCTACAGTGAAGCTTATTATCGGAAGCTTTATCTACTTCGTTACTAAAATTATTTATATACCTGAACCGGGTATTTATAGATATCAAAAGATTAATCATTTTGGTTTTTCCCATTGAATAAGTAGAATTATTGTAAATTCCGTTTCTGGTTTGATGGATCTTCCCTTCAATGTAACGAACGCCAACAGATTAACAGTTCAAGGATTCTAACAGACTGTTGTCATACAGAAAATCACGTACCGCTTCTGTTTCCAGGAGTTCGTATTATTTTTTTTGTGATTTTAACAAAAGCCTATTGATGCTGCTTTGACTACACCAGGCAGAGTTGTATAACTGCAACCAGGTCGTGAAGATGTTGAAGATAACGAAAAGGTGGAAGAAGTGAAAGAAATGGTTCTGAATGATTCTGAATGATTGCTAAATTACGAATGTTCCAAAAGTCGCTGATGATATTGGCATATCCTTTGGAACACATCAAGACATATTGTGAAATATTTTGAGTACAGCAAAATTTACTTCAAGGTTGTTGAATTTTGAATAAAAACAGCGGCGATTGGAAATCGCTCAGAAGTCATGGGTTTGATGAGGCGATGTAAAAAATAAGGATCACTTATTGCAGTGGAGGCACGCTATGGTCCAAAAATGCACAAGAATTGCAGTCGAACGCGATAGTTCTGCCCAATTTTGAAGCTTTTGAAGATTACAAAAAACGCCTGGAGTTGTATAACATCAGTTCAGGGCTTTCGAATCACTGTAATACACCTGCACACACTTCCTTGGTTATTCGTGACTTTTCGGCCAAAATAACGCTGTAATAATGCCCCTGCCTTCATATTCGTCCAACATGAATGAAAGGTCGGGTCGGAGAAATATTTTGGGGATTGGAAGCAAAGGTGGCATACTCTGTGATGAGGACTATTTTGAAGACGAATATTTTTTTTAAAAAAAAGTCAAATATCATAATTTCTGAACACGCCTGTTAATCTGTTATACGCTGTCTATAAATATAAAATGTAAATGAAAAAGTTGAATTGCTATAAGTGATTTGGTTTGTACAGCTTGCTTACTATTATGAATGGTATACTGGAAAGAAGAGATTCATAGCTTGTATATTGTTATTTTCATTTCCTCGAAAAATGAAATTCTTGCATGTAAATATGAACTAGTATTTAACTAGTATGAAGCTGAGTCATATTTGTAAAATTTACATCTCTTATGACATCACTGTACTGCAAATAAAAATTTATTGTATGAAGAAAAGTTGAATGATGTGCCATTTAGTCTAAATATACAATCAAAAAGCGTACTAGTTAACAACTAATTCCTTTTAATACAGAATTTTAATAAATCAATTTATTCAGAATTCTTGATTTTGTTTAATTTTTCTTGAGTAACTTTTACTATCGATACAATAGTCTCGTCTGATTACTTTTACTTGACTATTTAAATAATCAAGACTTTCTGTAACTATTTTCAATCCTCCCACACAACTTCCTATAGTTTACTTTTTTTATTTCCAATTCTAAATAACTTACCTGTGCGTTTCTCAGCTTCATTGATTGGAATATTTTCCAGTACAATTGGCTCCGAGCGACCTTTCTGATTGGCGCTGTAAACAACAAGATGAAGAGCAGGATTTGGATCGGGATAGTAATCCATGGATGTTAAATCTGGAATTGGAAATTATTAAATTAATATTTTTAAATAAAATTATATAAATCGGACTAATATGCAATCTTTTACACAAATAAAGAGTGGCTCAAAGTTTTATTTAAAGGTTGAAATTTATTTGACAGGATAGAGGAGAATGCAGGAGATCTAAGCTGTGGGGCTCGGAATTTGGAATATTTGCTGAAGAACTTTACAAAAGTATCACAAGATCCATACGAACAGCATACCTGTTGACTAAACAAAGGCGCTGAAAGTCATTCTTGACATCAGACCTAGTAAGAAGTATCTGAATAAGCAGCACTAACAGCTATATCGAATTATTGGATCCAGTAGCCCACGACCACCGTGAAGGACACGACGGCATACAGAAAGTCATGAGGGGAATCATACACTACTTACATTTCGACCAAGAAAAGGAAATCTGCCGCCAATTGCAAGACAACTATTTCTTCCCCAGCTGGAATAAATGAGCGGAAGGAAAGGCGATCGGTAATACTGAGGATATTCACATCTGCGCTGATGGATTCAAATGCAGGACTGGCACGCCCTCAAATATGGTTTCAAATAATAGAACCTAGATGCAGCATTACTTTTGCGCGTGTCAGAACTAGAGCCGTTTGAGGCGTGAAACCTTTCATGGTGCTCCTAGCTCCAGCCTTAAGAAGAACAATATGCTTGTGGGGGAGAAACTAAAGTAAAATTCTTACATCGAGCTCAATCAGGATAAAAAGGGGAGCACAAGATGGCTACACAATGGCTTATGTGCACCCGCCCGCGATCAGGCTTTTAACCTGCACTTTCATCCAAAACACCAGCTCTTCAAGCATAAATAGAGATATTTTTCCAATAGCCTTTTTTTGACAGATCACGTGTCGTGTCAAGTTGTCAGGTTATTTTTCTTCGGTATTGTTTGGCATTTCAACATGGAAAGCTTTACGCCTCAACAGCATTTACAAATTTTTTAACCTCCTTACGAAAATTCACGTTCTGTAAAGAATCTGATTCGCGCAATTCGCTCAACTTACGGTCAATATAATCGGGCTACTGAGCATACTATTTGTAACACCATCCCACCCATCTTGAGACCCAGAATTCATTATTGGATAATATTCGACCGAATAGATCATGACCAGGCCGCAGTGAGTAAAGCAACTCGGACTGAACGACTAAGCGCATTTTACTTCGATACCTCAAATTGGAAGCGTGCAAAATGCTTCGCTTTATGGGTACTCGAAAAGTTCTAAGAAGATCTTTCGAGCAAAGTTTCGTTCAGCGATGGTGTCCAACTCTTGCTCCATGTGTATGTAAACAAGCAAACTTGCCACATTTAGAACAAAGAGCAACCAGAAGGGATTCAAACAATAGTTTGGTGAGGTTTGCGGAACGGTGGAATCATCGGTCCTTACTTCTTCAAAAAAAATATGTCGGTGAGAATGTAACCGTCAGTGGCAACCGTTATCGCGCAATAATAACCGACTATTGTCTGCCTAAAATTGTAGCTCGCGACCTCGGTGACATTTGGTTTCAACAAAACGACGCCACTTCCCACACATCGTATTAATCAATGTGATATTACAACAAAACTTTTTCCTGTGGAGATGTGTAAAATCTATAGTCTATGCGGACAATCCCGCTTCGATTCAAGCCTTAGAGCAAAACATGACACGAGTCAGTCGTCAGATACCAGTCGAAAATTGGATTCAATAGATGGCCGATCTGAGACGGAGCCGCGATCAACGTTTGAAAGGGATTAATCTTTAAAAAATAAATGCCAAAGAAAAGGGGTTAAACTCGAAATGGATCACCCTTTATAGCGTTAAGTTTTTAACGTTTTTTCAGAATTAAAAATAAAAGAAAAATTATTTTATTAGAATTTAATATTTTATTATCTATATATTTTTATTACATTATTTATAAGTCTCCTTTGTAACTGTAAAATTGCTACATTAGCGTAAATTGCAAATATTTCATTTTTTTTTGTTTTGCTCTCAATAGACTGCCACTATTCATTACGTAGATATACTTTATCTGATGACTTAATTACCTGACGATTTCAATTTTTCACAGTAAACTCATGACTCAAAAGGCCACCGCAGAAAACTCAATTGCTAATGTACATCAAAAAAAAAAAAACAAACAAATGCATATATATATATATATATATATATGTATATGTATGTGTACACAAAGTTTTGGCATCAACTTTGAAAATACCAAATCATTAGTGAGTACTTGCCACAAGAGCCACTTCAGAGGCCAACATGCAAAAAAAAAATTCATTCATACACAAATACATACATATAAATGTACCTGTGAATTTATTTATGTGTGAATGTATGTGTGTTCGTAAGCGCTACTGTTTCAACTAAAACTGTAGATAGGTAGCGGTAACTATACGCAAATGTTGTCTGCAAACTTTGGTAGCTATTAGTAGTTGTTGAAATATAAAAGTAAATAAAATAAAGTTTCATTGCAAAGTGGCAGAAGAAGTAGAAGTAGAAGAAGAAGAGAAGCAAGCCACAGTATCTAGCTTAAGGGAATATGTAACAAGAAATAATAGCAACAACACTAAATGTAAAGAAGCTGCCATTGCAAAAGCTACGAACATTATTGAATAGTTGTAATAACAATAACAACAACAAAAACAATAGCAATAGCAACATTAACAACAACAACAACAACAACTATAGAACTAACACATCAACCACTTGAAATGATTTTCAAAAGCGACTTTGATCTTTTCACTCTATTTACAATACCATTTGACTACATAGCGCAGTAAGAGCAGTGAGAGATGTGGCTCAGCGTGTATGTATGTGCGCTCGTATATTTGTGTTAGTGCGTGCGTGGGTGGGTGGGTGCAGCGAGCTATTTGCACACAAGCAATTGTTGGCTAGCGGAGAGTGCAACTGATGAGTGAGTAAAGCGTATCTAACGCCGGCGAAGGAGAACACTTACATACATAGTACTTTTTCTGGTGAGCAGAGGCGGCGTACCAAAGAGGGTCGCTTGTGCTGCACTGATATTGGCAGCTTAGCGCGCTTGTCTAACTAATCGTGACTTTACGCTTCGTTAGATTTTACAAATAAACCTGAAGCTTGAATGCCTGCGGGAAGAAAGCTAGCTGGCAAGAGCTGTCAATAAGCATAGCTCGGGTATGCCAAAGATTTACTCTCGGTGTACATATACCGCGTTGGCAAGGGGCTGCTTGTAGGCTGATTACAGTAGAGTGAGAGGAAGAGAAGCAAACAACAAAAAAAAAAAATTAAGAGTGTGAAGGCTTTCAGCAGCAGCTACGGTTATTTTCGGTAGCTAACTACCAACTACGAAAAGCCAATAAATGCCGATAGATTGCTGCCAAAAATGGCTCTCAGTGGTTATACGTTACAACGTTTGCTGCGCGGTGGAAGAGATAATATATATACTCGTATATGTGTACATAAGTGCATTAGCTTGGTGTAGATATTTTTCTGCATTGGCTAATAAATTTTATTTATCATACGGAATGAAAAACGCAAAAGGCGGAATGTAAGCTGCCAGCAGGCGAAAAGTTTGCCTCATTAACTCGCAGCGGTAGAGAAGAAACAGCGAACGAAAAAAATATCTCAGCCGATTTTGGAAGCTGTTAAAGTTTTGTGTGCTTAAAAGTTTTGGTCGCCCGTGAAGACATTAAATTGGTGAGCATGGGGAAACGAAAAAAAAATATTTTTATGAAACAAAATTGCATAGTATAATTTAATATTAATATTTTTCTGAAATATTTTTTTATAGTAAAAATGTTTAGTGGATTATTAAGAACGTTTCATCGGCTCATTGTTTTACGTGGCTTGAACATAAAATTGTGAATTAACTTCGATTCGAAGTATTCAATAACCAGAAGTAGAAGAGATAGCTTCATACTAAAGAGTGATTTGTTAGCTGTTATATTTGTGGCAACACTGCTTCAAACAACTGACGCATGTTTCGTGTTTTCTATCATTGTCAAACATCTTCAGTTCGGTCTATAATTTAGCCATAAATCGTCTTACAAACGAACAACGCTTGCCAATTACTGAATTTTATTATCATCTGTTAAGAAAGTTAAAAAAAAAAAAATAAAAGAGCTTGACTCGCATGACATGTGGTTTCATGCTATACAGCACGCGTAATAATGGACTTATGGAGAGGCGAGTTCGGTGAACATTTTACTTCACGTTCGGTAGCGGTCAATTGGCCGTCTAGATCGTGCGATTTAACGCCTACAGACTATTTTTCGTGTGGCTATGTTAAATCTTATGTCCATAGAGACAAGCTCGCTTCAATTGACGCATTGGAGGACAACAATGAAGCATTTGCTCGTGAGAAACCGACCGAAATGTTGGAAAAAGTATGCCGAAATTGGTCAAAGCGAATAGACCATTTGAGGCGCAGTCAATTTCAACATTTGCACGAAATAATCTTAAAATATTAAATTATGTTGATTCAAATATAGATTTCATGCATTTTCCAGAATTCTATGGGCTTGTTTGAAAAACTTTCCTATAGCTCCTAAAAAATCAACCCTTCATATGTGAGGCCAGGTCCGATAAACATCAAAAATTATAGAAAATAAACTCTTTCTAGTTGTGACGGCAATTGAAATGCCAAGCCCTCCAAATGTGTTTCCGAGCTGAAGTTAAAGATTCGCATAAAAATTCATCGTATACAATACTATTTTGAGGAGGAGCTCGGCCGAAAAACTCTTCAGTGGATACAAATTGCCAACCGCCACCAGATCATTGACCGCAGTAAACAGTTACATGTTGAGGATGGTAATTTTTTTGTTTGGTGCGGTTTATGATCCGGCCAGGTCCTTGGACCTTATTTATCTAAGCAACGAACCAAACGATGTTACATGTCACACAAGCAACGAAGCCATCGATACTTTAAGGAAAATATTTTAGGGACCGAAGGCTTATAGAAAAACCAAATTTGCCGGAAGTGTTCCAGTCCTTGGAATCTTTTCCCCCAAATCTAATTTTTGGTGTTCTCCAAAAGTTACCAACCGATTGGAGTGGAATGTTTTCAGCTCTTTTATATAGTTCCTGCAGGAGGAGAGCAAGAGCATTTGTAGGAAAAATAATGAGGACGGAATGCGTGAGCATAAATGGATTGAAACGCGGGCCGTCAAAGGTAACGTGCGACAATTATACGAAAAGACACGGCGACGGAAGGTACCAAGGCGAGAGCAAACTTTTGTAGGACACAGAGAGGTGATCTAGTGATGGATACCCAGCGTATACTGAATTTATTGAGGTTTAACCTCTGCAGTGTGCTGATTGCCTGTGAAAGTGGAACACATGGAGTTGGTGAGCCCGAAACGCCAATTGATGACAATGGAAAAGACGATGCCGGGGCTCGAATAACGATTGACTGCTTGAAAAACTACAAAGCTTCTGGAAATGACGGCTTACCGGCCGAGTCATTCCAAAATGGCGGCAAAGAGCTGTATCAGCTACTTTGCAGAATATGGTCGGACGAAAGCATGCTCGAAAATAGGAATTTAAATTTGCTTTGCTCAATCCGTAAAGAAGAGGACCCCACAGTCTGCGCCAATCATTTTTAATACTTCATCTGAGGTCCTGCCAAGCGTATTGTATGAAAGACTTAAGCTCACCGTCAACAAACTTATTGGACCCTATCAGTGTGGCTTCAGACCTGGTATGTCAAAAATTGACCAGATATACACCCCGAACCAAATATTGGAAAAGACCCATGAAAAGAAGATCGGTTCCCCCCACCTCTTCGTCTTTACGCCGCTATGTCTGAATTTGCTATCTCCGCAAAATTTATATGGCTGTGTAAGCTGACGCTAAGTAATACCGAAAGCTCGGGATTGGTAGACGAAGTTTCAGACAAGATGATTTCTTACCGTGTGACTTCTTTTATTTATTGCTGATAGAGAAGGTACAATATTCTACAAGAGTGCACAGACGATAGCGTAGGCCGATGATATCGACGTTATTGACCTCAACAATAGCACTTTGAGTTTTGCTTTCTCCAGATCGGATAAGGAAACGATAGATAACACAAACAGTCATCGAATTGCCGACCTTGAAGTTGTATATAATATATAATATAATAATATAATTATAATGTCAGCCTTCTTCTTGATGAGAATTACTCATGCCAACAGGTGCTACTTTGAACTGAGTAGGCAATTGAAAAGTAAGGTCCTTCATCGTTCCCGTCCTGCTATATGATGCGAAATCATGGACGATGGCGTTAGGAGCTTTCGAGAGAAAGATTTGGCTATCGGTGAATACCGCGACGATGGACGATGAGCTGTGCGAGTTACACGAAGACATTGATTTGGTTCAGAGAATCAATAGATAGCGGCTAAGAATACTGTTGTTTCGGATGTGGCACCCGCTGAAGGTAGTAGAGGAAGAGAAGGATCTCCATCCAGTCCGTTGGAAAGACCAGGTAGAGAAGGACTGGGCTGTCCTTAGTATTTTCAACTGGCGCCGGACAAAAAAAAAAGAAGGACTGAATGGCGAATAATAATAATAATAAGAAGAAGAATGAAAAGAAAAAAGGAGAAGCCGAATCTTTGGTCTAACGCCTTGGCCTTCGTGACAAGTAAAACCCGCTTGAAGAGAAGAATCAATCCATCATTTTTTATAAGCTCATTCCAATCCCCATTGGCGAGAAGAACAAAACTCGCTTAAATTTAGAAAACAAGAATTCGGAACTTTTTTTGCATTTGCATGGCAAAGGAGTTCACTTCTGCACAGAATCGTCCATAAATTCAAATTTCTAACTATTGAAGAAATAAAAATAATTAATTACAACAACACACCTACTCATTCGCAACAACACTGTCGGCAATTTGAACGCAATATTTGATAATCTCCAACTTTGTGTTGCCAAAGCAAAATTTTCCACAACTTCGAAGCTTCGTTCACACAAATTAAATACGCTGAAGGTGATAATTATACGGAATGAGACCGTGTAAACAGGGGTGAAACTTTAATTAATCACCTGAGTGTCGAAGTTGCGCGCCGTACAATTATCAGTCGCAAAACTTGATACTTCGCCGCTTAACTCTCAGCGTTATTTTATGCGCTGTAACTGTAACTATTAACGCGCGCTTTTTTCCTGCCGCTTAATACGCGTTATATATATATACGGTGATTTATTACCAAATAAAATAACGGTATATAATCAACTAACCAGGATTTTGCAAAACTTTTCGCACAAATTGTTCAAAGAGTTGCTGAAAAGCTTTGAGGAGAACGAGTACAAAATGTGGCTTGGAAGAAAATATATGTATACAGCATGACTACATATATATCTCAATTAACTTCCAACTTTTTTGAGGTTCTTTGCAGAGAATGGACTTCGAGGGGAAGATTCAGAGAAAGTGGCGAATATTTTAGATACTTTTTTTTTAAGAATTGAAAGCTCTTTCAATATTTATAGAGATTAATTTAACCAGAATACGTAATTGGAGCTTTATAGTTTGTAGCTTGCATCAGAAATTGACTTGGATGGATTAACAATCCTGCTTAGAGTCGACCGGAATTAGAAAAATTAATTTTCTATAATTTTGAATGTTGACCAGAAATAAAACCAGCGACTTTCAACATTTTTTTTTAAATATTATAAACATATATATGCATATAATTTTATAAAATTTACTTGACTTTACAATTTTATCCAAAATATGGAGGAATCTTTTAACTCCTCAGTGGGCAGATGCCCATTTTTATTCAGTTGAATATACCAGATTCGGCATGTGATGAAGAAAATATAGCGGCCGTAGCTGAGAGCGTACACGAAGGCCGTGAAGAGCCGATTCGGCGCCATTCTCAGCAACTCGGACCGACGTATGGAACGACTTGTCACATTTTACGTTGAGATATTAAATTAAAAGCGTGCAAAATGCAGCTTGCGCATTGAACCGAAGCCGCTTGACCTTAACCAGCGACATCGCTTCGCTTTGCTCTATCGACCCAAATTTCGTTCAGCGATGAGGTCCATTTCTTGCTCGATGTATATGTAGACAAACAAAATTTCGGCATTTGGGACAAAGAGCAATTTGAAGAGATTCGAGAGCTGTCATTTCGTACAGAAAAAACAACGCTTTGGTGTGGTTTGTGGGCCAGTGGAAACACCGGTTCATATTACTTCAAAAATTGTGTCGGTGGGAACGTAAACGTCAGTGGCGACCGTTATAGTGCCAGGATAAACGGCCTCACTTCCCACACATCACCTCAATCAATGTTTTATTGAGAGAACACTTCGATGAGCAGATAATTTCACGTTTTGGGCCGGTCGATTGTCCACCAAGGTCGTGTGGTACCATAGTTAAACCTTTTTCTGTGGGAATATGTAAAGTTTAAAGTCTATGCGGACAATCCAGAGATCGATTCAGGCCTTGGAGCAAAATTTAACGCGTGTTAGTCGCCTGCTACCTGTCGAAATGTTCGAAGGACTAATCATCAAAAACTAAATGCCGAGCCACCGCTGGAGCTATTTTCATTCGACCTCGTCCTACTAATTGTGGTTTTTGAGGTTTTTCCAACAAATGGAGGGACCTACAGTTCATACTAGAGCTCAAGATTTCGTTCGAGCATATGAGCTTTTTCAAAATTTGACATTTTTCCCAGAACTTTCTTCCATAGTTCTAATTATATTTATGCGAATTCTAAAACTCTTTGAAATACTAAAGAAATTTTGACAAACAAACTGGAGGCCATAATTTTTGTATGTTAGTCGCATAATGATTTTGACATCGGAGTGGGAGTACGCAATGCTAATTGCTCGGTCATCACGACCGTCAGAACAAGTGAGGCCGGCATACCTTGCTGATTTGTGGGCTATAATTGGATCCAAAACAATGAAAGTTGTGTTTCATATCAATACCACAGCCTTAAAAGCTAAAAATAGTTTTGCCTTTGCCAAGGATGGTCAGAAGAGTTAAAGGAACTTTTTGGAACTTTATACGACTTTGGTGAGGCCAATATTAGAATATGATTCACTGATACGGAACTCCAATTATCAAGTTCATTCCGATGAGTTAGAATTTGATCAAAGTAAAGGCAGATAAGCCTTGTTTGTTATTCACTTATGAACAACTTAACAGTTTTGAGGATGCAGGGAAGCATTTGAAGAATTAAGTCCTCCAGCAATGCGAAATCTTCATCAAAAAAATTAAATCAACAACAATGTTGATTTATCTCTGAATGGCTTCAAGAATTACTAAATCTTAAGAAGAGATCAATTATTTGTAGTTTTTTAGAATAGTAAACCAAATAAAAATTGATTTTATGCATTCCAGGTCTATTAATGCGCCCAGCGAAGGAATTTAAATTCATCTACTCACCACTCAGATCTATACGAAATATCGGTATATCCGCATATGTGCTTGACGTATTCAAACGCAATTTTTTCGTTTTAGAATCGTAAGCTTCCAGAAAGAACTGTTGCTGCAGGCCACCATCATAACCGGGCATACATTCTAATTCCATTGTTGAGTAAATAATATTATCATAGTTCTCGAGATTTATTGTGCCGCCACCGCCGCCACCAACGCCACCAATACCAACATTATCGAGACCACCGAAGCCAACGCCATGTCCATTACCATTACCGCCAATCAGACTGTGCGTCGCAATGCCATTACTAAAACTATATTCCATGCGTGAATAATCAAAGTGTGGCTCATCTGCCGTATCGACCGTTAAATGCAGTGCACTTTGCAAAGCGCTCATTGTGGGTGGCAATAACTCTTCATCCAACTCGATAACGCTATTTAAATCCGCATCATCAACATCAATGTCGTCAGCTTCATCGGTACCGCCCACCAATTCTGCATCCAGTTCAGCCTCCGCATCTGCGTCTGCATCTGCCTCTGCTTCTGTATCTGTATCAGCATCCACTTCATCGGCCGTCATGTCAATCTCAGCGCCAACATCATCATCGTCATAAATAAATTTGTTGCCAAAAATCTCTGTTGCGCGACCACTTTCATCCGAGCCGGAGGCGAGATCATTAATTGCGCGTTGCATGCCAATAACATCGATGTTGCGATTAGTGTTTGTTATGCTTTGTTGTTGTTGCTGCTGCTCTCGTTCTTGTGCTTTTTGTGTCTTTTGTTCATGCTGTTGCTGTTGTTGCTGCTGATGATGAAAGGCAACAGCGTGATTGCTTATTTGGGGCGCGCTGGGCGGTGCGTTGTGGGCTTTGTTGACTTTGACGCTTTGCGCATTAGCTTTGTTATTCGGCTTGTTGTAATTGTTGTTGTTGTTGTTGTTGTTGTTGTTGTTAGCATTAGTGAAGTTGGTGTTGCTGTTAATGTAATGACTGCCTTTGGTGTGCTGCTGCAAATAGTGGCGTTCACTTTTGCCACCAACATTTACCTTGGCGTCACCAACAGACGGCAATTCTCCAGCGTTTTTGGCTGTCAAAGATTTGCGTATGCGCACCTTTTCAACAAAGCCTTCGTCAGCAGTAGCAGCCGCTAAAGCAATTGGTGCACTGCCTGTGTTGGCCATTGATGACGGCCTTTGTTGCTGCAGCTGTTTATTTTTCGCCGAGTTAATGGAATCGATGGGTGGTGAGGAGAAGTCACCGTTGCCACCGACACTGGTGCCTTTACTGTTGATTTTGATTGCTTTGTTTATCCTCGTAGCTGTTGCCGGAGCTATTACTGCTGCTAAATCTTCACTTATCTTGCCGCTGCTTGCTTTGGATGTTGCTGCTGTTGCCGGTGTTGCAGTTACAATTTCTCTTTTTGCTCGCCTCGTCTTTGCTGACATTATAACAGATGCATCATTTACGCTTGCTGCCGTTGTTTCCTTTTCTGTTTCCTTTGAAATATCATCTGTTGTTGTTGTTGCTGTTGCCATTACCGTTGAGTGATGAATTACTTCGCTCATCTCCCGTGCCACCTCACGCTTATGTGTATTCTTTCGCCGCCGATTGTAGTATTTTGTTGCTAGTGCTTGCTTGTTGTTGTTGCTTTTGTTACTCATCATCGTATGGTTGCCATTGATGAGGAGCGTTGCTGGGCCAGCAACTGTTGGCAATGATAAATTTGATTTCTGCCTTTTACTCGCATTCATCTTCTTCTGCGTCTGTTTTGAGTTGAGCTTTCTTGACTGCTGCTGTTGATGATGGCGCAGCTCCTTTGCTGCCAATGACTGCTTGTGCGCCTTCATCTTTTGCTTATACTTGGACAAACTCTTGCTTTTATTTTTATTCTTGGTGTTGTTGTATTGTGTTGCCGTTGTTGCGCGCTCATCAGTAGCACGTTTTACTCGATGTTTATTGTTGTCATTGTTGTTGTTGTCCATTCGCATCTTCGTCGGTAATCCATCAGTTTTGTTATTGATATACGCCATTGTAGCCAAGTTGCCTGCAGCACCAGCATCAGCGCCAACACCGGCACCTCTACTAAGGACAGCTGCGCCCGCACGCCGCACACCGACGCCTTGCTCAAGCTTTGGCGTGCGTGTTGCAGCTGCTACAAATTTTTTGCCATTGCTTGCTGTCGCCTTGTCTGATGACTCGTTGCTTGTGGCAGCCGTATTGTGTTGTTGTTGTTGATGTTGCTGTTGTCGTTGTTCTTGTTGATGCCGCTTGATTGCCGCCAGCGTTTGAGATGGCGTAAAAGATGTACGTTTTTTCAGGTGTTGTAATTGTTGTTGTCGCTGTTGTTCACTTAATGGCGTGCGTCGTTGTTGGTGTTGCTGCTGTTGTTGTTGTTGCTGCTGCTGCTGCTGCTGCAGATATTGCAGTTTCTTTTGCTGTGCAATTGCTATTTTTTTGCTCTCCCCCTCTTGTTGCTTATTAACAACATTGTTGATTTTATTATTGCCTTTACTATTGTTGTTGTTGTTGTTATTGCTGTTGCTACTGCTGCTGCTACTGCTGCTGCTGCCAAAGCCTACTTTACTGCCATTACCATTGTGCTTCATATTGCCATTGTTATTATTACTCTTGTTGTTGTTGTTGTTGTTGATGTTCTTTTTGTTGTTGTTGTTGCTGCTGGCATTGTCATTGTTATTATTTCGCTCACGTACATACTCCGTATGCGGAAAATTTGATTCGTGCCGTCCATATTGTGCCGGCATCAACTGATTACTATGCATTGTTGTCTGATTCGATGAATTTAGCGACGCAGAGGTCACCACATATGGACGCAGTGTACAGTTACGCAGTGCGCCCGGCTTGGCTGTGATGCATACACAATTGCATAGAAAATTTGATTGAAAAACGGCGAAGAGAAAAGAAGAGAATGAGATAGTTAAATAACGGCTCATTGGATTTGTTGGCAAAAAAATATATGGTAATATTAGTCATATTTACAAGCATAAATCTATCGCATGCAATAAAATAAATACATCACCATCAATCTACAATGTATTTATTGATATGGAAAGTCATTGTCCACATTTACAAATAGTCAGGAAGAAGAAAAAAGTTCACTAAAATTATTTAGTACCTTCCATATGACAATGGCGTACTTCACAATGCTGCAATTACTGATACGACGTATGCTTATAGATGGCAATGTAGCGAAGCGAGATATGGGTCCAAATAAATAACTACTGTAAACATACATTCAAGGTGCGCTACAAAGTAAACAGGACTTTTTGAATCTAGCGCCCTCTAGTGGCGCCATCTATATGTCGCTATCCTTTATCGACTTCCAGTAAATTGGAAGTGAAGTCATTGCGTTTTAAGTGTCAGTATGTTTTTGTCCTCGGTGCGAAAATGAGCTGACATCATTAGAGAGGCAAGAAAAGGCCCAAACTTCCTTTACAAGATTGTGACTGGTGATGGAACTTGGTGTTTTCAATATGATCCCGAAACGAAACACCAGAGTGCTTGATGTAAGGCGCCGGATGAGCTGAAATCTAAAAAATCGCGCCTGGAGAAATCAAAAGGGAAGACAATACTGATTTGTTTTTATGATTTCAGGAGTATTGCCCACAAAGAACATGTTCCACGCGGTATTCTACCTTGGAGTTTTGAAGCATTTGGTGCGCCGTATTCGACATGTTCGGCCCGAATATCGCAAAGATGGAAGTTGGCTTTTGTTGCACGATAATGCGCCGTCTCATCGATCGACGCTTGTGGCCGATTATTTGACAAAAAGTCCCATTTTAACAATCAACCACCCGATATGGCACCGTGCGACTTCTATCTTTTCGGAAAAATGCATTTGTCGATGAAAGGAAAAGCGTTATGCAGACGTAGAGGCCGTTCAAAAGGCTTGCACCGGTATACTGGCGGTCATACCGGGCAACGACCTAAAACACTCGTCCGACATAATAATTTCATTTAAATAATTATCTCGAATTCATGTATAATTGCTTAATATTGTAGATAATCCTGTATATTCCTGTCTGACAATTTGTGCAAAAGGCTAAAGTGCCTTCCAACGAACTGATATGACTTTTTTGGTGTGGACTTAGAGCTTAGGTATGTACACTATTAAGGAGAAATTCAAAATGCGGCCTTCAATAAAGTTATCTACCACAGCATTAAAAGAAGCTGCGTCTATGCAGAATCTCTGAGTTTGGTATCCCCGCAAAACTTATACAGCTTTTCGAACTGACGCTAAGGACTACCAAAGTTTCTGAAAGAGCGGGCAATGAATTCTCCAAGCTAACGTTTCAGACAAGGTGATTCTAATTTGAGTGATTTCTTCTATAAAAGTGTACAGCTGCTGGCGTATGTCGATGGCATTGTCACGAAATGAAGTGAGGTGCTACTCTGTCGGTACCTTCAAATGGTGGCGAGTGGATAACGGTTTGCTAGTGTTAATTATGCTACAATCTCGTGAGAGTCTGAAATTAAGACGAAAAGACCCAGGATTTCATCAAGTTTTATTACTGTTAAAAAATATTTACGCAACATTGGAGTCGGCAAGATTTATTAAAGAAAATGCAGACTCTGGGACTCAAATGCAGATTTTATTCAATGACTTCAAATTTTGTTCAACTATTAGTGTTCTTAAAACCGAATATTCAAATTGGATAAATTTTATTTCTTTAATGAGTTCATTTATAAGCAACAGGACAGCTCCCTTTTAACCTCAGTATATCTACTGTAAATTTTGTAGCGTGATGGGTTGGTTTTAACGTTAAATAGCTCGTCTACGGTCCTCTCTGCCACATAGTTTTAAAAGTTCTCATATCAAAGAGATGATGCTTATTTCATTTGCAAGGCTATATAAATTTCCTTAGATGTACTTATTATACTGTAGTATACTGAATATTTAAGCCGCATGGCTAAAGTGGTGAAGTAGTAAGTAGGCTCTATGAAGAAAGCAACTATCACACCCAAAAATGCTACTGTGAAACTGCGTTGAAGTTTAGTAGAGCTGTGCTATTTCTCGCCTCGACGCCTGAGCATGCGAGAGTTCGACAGGCCTTCGACTTCATTCCTGAGTGAAATGTCTCTTAAGAAACACTTTGTCAACTTCATATCTTTCAGAAGTGGTTGGACGAGGGTTACTTAACTATAGCAAGGCTATTTAGTTGGAAATGTTGGCGAGAAAGTTTTTGTTGTAGAGAACTCACAATCGGCTCTGGTATCACACTTCCTGCCTATCCTTGTTTCAATAGGGGACGTCCTTATATATTTTGACAGCCAAATGACTATCCTAATATCTCTATTGGTAGCCTACACCTGGCTAATGCGCAAGTGCAAGGTTTTTCGGGCTTGCGAAATCTTTCCGCTACTTTCTCTACGCCTGACTGCAAGTATTCGGAGAGAATAATACTTATATGATTTTTATGTTGCAGTGAAAAGTTTTGTGGCTGAATATAAAATCTAACGCGATAATTTTCTTTAACAATCGTGAAGCAAAGTACTTTTGTCTTATATAGAATAACTTAAATCTTGATTTAGAAAAAGGACATGGCTTTTTATATAAAAAGGCTTATGGCTTTTGAAATTGTGTGTGTTTTGAACAAGTACCTACATTATGGCTAGATCTGCGGGACTTCGTTCATCATATCTAGACTAGCCAAAATAGATTTTATGGCTTTGCGAACAATCTGCCGAAAACTTCGGGAGTAGCAGCACAAACTGATTTGCATATATAACAGTAAAAATGATAAAGCAGTACTTAGAACACTGATCAGTAAAATAAAAACAATTGATTTTCGACCATCCTAACTCCAAAGATGAGACAAGCTCAATATTTTGGGGAAAACTTATTCGTTAAGAAGCTACACGCTTTAAGGATATTATTTGATATTTTTTTAGTTTTATTTCATTCATTTAGACTACGATTTTTAAAATCTAACAGAATGAATGTACGAGTTAGCGACTCATATATACCAAACATACATAAATCTATATGAGTTATGAATAAAATGGTTGAATTATTGAGCCAAGATCTCGGGCAGGCGAAATCAAGATGAATACTCATGGAGATTTCACTTAAAAGGGATTATAGTTATGGTAATTAGTATTAATAACATTTATATAGAAAAAAAGAGTGTTCAAATTTCTATGAGAAATATTTAAGCTGACTTCTGCAAAAAGATCTGTAAGGATCTTCGAAATCACCACCATATCGCCGTAAGGAAGCAAAGATAGGTACAGTTGATACGATAAGAGATACACTTATTCATAGTATGAGAGAGCATATCATCAAGAATGTAATACAATAAGACGAAATTAGCACTATAAGAGTGTGGTATTCAAGCGCAAGTTATATCGAATGCTCGTATCGGTTGGCTTAATTGTTAAGATCCGCATTCCAAGTACAACTGTTACATGTAAAAAATTTTAAATCAGTTGCTCAAAAAAAATATTTGAATATTTAATGAAAACTCTAAAATAATTAATCAAAAGAAAAAATAATAAAGGGTTAGGAAAGTTAAGTTTTGTTATGGGTTTAATATTTTTAGCATAATTTTTGTTACCGGACTTAAAGAATGGGAAGATATAGACAAAATTCCAACAGTTAATGAAAACATCGGGTGAAAGAAAGAGATCATAACTGTATTTTAAGGGAGTGGAAGAAAACGAGCGCACTTCATAAGCTTTTAAGAAAAAATAGACGAAATGCCGCCTGAGTAGGAGAAGAGATGACTCGATAAAGTCTGAATTTCGTCATTTGCATTTTCGGTAGTTGCCGAAATAGGGAATTGTTTGTTGCCAGAACCCTACGTAGGTGCAAGAAAGACGAATGGAAGGTATTTTTTTTTTTTGAAAAATAATTGAAGCGCTTTGTAAGTGTGCAATACAAACGGAAAATTCACAAGCAAGTCAGAAGAATATTGTAAGAAGTGTTGATGACAGGTAAAAAGCCGTAATGAGGCGCCTAGATCAGTTATTTATGCTTGAAACTCAAATGAAACTACTCATAAAGCGTCAGAAGACTAATTGGAAGAGAGTCGATGTCAGCATTGATAATGTGAAAATCTGTGCTTCACCGCACCAATCATTATACCCTTAAGATTATATATATATTTTATTTCATCAAGCTTTTCTGTTGATTTGTTCTTATAATTTTCAATATTTCAGTACACTATTGGTCAGTTCACGAAACTCAATTAAGAATGCTTACATAACTTACTGACTTTCAATAAACTAAACTTTCCCCAAAAATTAAAAAAAAAACTTCATTTTCTAATATAGGAGACCTTAAAGGAATCAAATTTGCTTTTTTTCATCTAAGACACTTCAAAACAAATTTTTTCGGCTTAATATTGTTTCTAATATTTTTACGTCTTCAGGAACTTTTGGTTTGCTAACTAAATTATAAACAATTTGCTGAATAGAAAATCAGGACAATTGAAATAGTGTTAAAAATTTAGAAAAAATATGAAAAAATTGCTTATATTTTTCATTCGTATTGTTCAAGGCATATTTACACACGGTAGTAGCAAGAATACAAAAACAAAAATCTCATGTGATTTGTTTGTGTAAACGAACATTCGAAATGCCAAAACCAATTTCTCATGTATTTTGTTTGTGCAATTTGTTGAAATGTAAGGAAGAACAAGCAATCATATGATCTGACAACTTTTCCTTTTATAAATTCGCCTTGGTAATATTTAAAAAATTTTTTTTTTATAAAAAAATTCCACCTTCACGCCAAAAGAGCATTAGTAAAAATGAATTAAATACATATCACAGAAATTTACTTTTCTAATTTTCACAAAGATTTCCAATTAGTTTGCACACTCCTTTCTTATAAATTACTTCAAGCAAATGCCATCTTCCTGTCCCGAGCAACACACGAGTACATTGGTTATTAAATTAATAATATATATATATATATTTATATACCTAGTTATATTTTTATATTCAATGCTCCCCAAAAATTTTATTTATGCTTTTCAATTTATTTTATTTAATTTCACTTAATTCCCACAGCACACAAACACTCTACCGGTCTTGCCATATATACAACGTATTATAGTGCAACTGTCCATTCGACTTCATCATTTTAACAAGAAAGCTATTACTCTTATTTATATCATACATAAGTGCAGAATACATAAAATATGTTTCATCGAATCTTACCTGCTGGTACCACTTGAAATAAACAAGGCTCTGATTGTTTGCCAATTGAATTTTGGCCCCAGCATGCCAATGTCCCATAGTCTCTTTCGCCCTTCGGTGTGTATATCAATTCGCTTACGGTTTCTACTGTAAAGAGAGCAAACAATAGAGAATGTGTAAGTAAATTGAATAAATAAACATATGAAAATATAGAATTTTAACGAAAAGAATTAATAAAAGCAATTCAATAAGTTGTAGCTTTTATGGTATCCGCATTTGTGTATATATGTATATGTGAGGGGATTAACAAAAGTTCGGTTTCAATTATTTTTTGTTAATCTAAAAATATCAAATCCAAAAATCCATGGCTGTATCGCGAATATTAAGTAATAATCTGGGATACACGAAGAAATCTGCTCGATGGATTCCACGAATTTTATATAAGTCCTAAAAAGAGGCCCGATTGCGTTTTACTCAATGTTTTCCTAAACGAATTCGAAATTGGTCGATCCAAGTCTAGCAACTTTAGTAATGCCGCTACTGGTGGGAAATCTTGGTTCTATAAGTACGATACGGATACCAAACAGCATTCCTTGAGGTGGAGCCCAACAGGAACAAACCCACACGAAAAATCAAAGCAACAAAAATTAGCAGTAAAAGTAATGATGCCAGCTCACTTCAACCGATATGAAATCGCTGCTATTCGCCTGGGAATGGATCAGACGGTAACCCCAAAATGGTACACCGAAAGAGTTGTCACTAAAAGTTTTCAAAAATTTGTTGGTAAACAGGAAGAACGAGGATTTGTGATGTAATTTTTTACATAATGACAACGCACTATCCAACACTGCTAAAATAACGAGTAATTTTATTGCGATCTCGGGTATCAGAAATAAAAAACGTCAAGCACCATATTCCCTGGTATAACATCTAGTGATTTCTGGTAATTTTCCAAAATGAAAAAAAAAATTTAAAAGGAAGTCCTTAACAGCAACAGAGAGATAATTAATGCGGCTATTGCTGTGGTCAGAAATGGATCTGCCGGCTTAAAAAATTCAATGCCGATTATGTGGAGAAGATCGGAAAAGAAAAACATACGAATAAATACAAAAATTATTATTTTTTTTCTGGTCAACTTAACGAACTTTTGTTAACCCCCTCGTATAAATACGCGAGAAACTAGCAACTGAATATTTGTATTATTTATATAAAAAAAAATTAATGAAGTTATTAAAAATGTTTTATTTTTTTTTTATTGTAAATAAAATATTATACTCCAATAACCTAAGTTCATTCGATATTCAACTTTCCTTAAGTTGAAACTTTGTGTTTACTTTCAAAATACAGAAAATTTATATACTTAAAAAATATATATGTTCATCTGAGAAAATCCACCCATAATCTATTTAGAAAAATTTACAAATCTCCAAAAACAATCCAGAAAAATTGTGCATTTGTCATTCAAAAAGATCTTTTGAAATAATTAAAAAAATCCAAATAAAAATTATACTTTAATGTTTATATACAAAAAAGTATCCGCTGTTAAAGTTCATTAAATAGAATTTCTGTGAAAAAAAAATTATAATAGAAAATTTTACTTTAATATGTACATCCGTGTACATACACATACAATATATACATAACATTACCATATGTTTCGAAATGTGTATCGTTCGCTTCAATTATAGTACGATGTACATCGCCAGTGGTGGTCGCTTCCTGTATTGTCGCATAATGACCAGATGGCACTTCAAAATGTTCGCCGCTTGTTGAAAAAGTCCATTCAAAATCAATTTCCGGTGGATCAGAATTAACGCGACATGGAATGGGTACCGCCTCTTCGAGTGAGGCGCCAATCACAACCATTGTGCTTGTGCTGCAAACAGGAGCGTCTAAAAGAACAAAAAAAAAAAAAAAAAAAAGAGAGAAGAAAAAATGATGGAAATTTTAATGAAAAATTCAAATTAAATTATTTTCAGCTTACACTATTTAGTGGGACTCTGAGTAATAAATAAAAAGTACTCTAAATTTGCTCAATGAAGGCAGCCGCGAGAGATAATTTGATAATTTAGTGTTTATCAGGTAAAAAGTTGCAGTTGGACCACGTGCAAGTATTTGAAATTTTAATTTTAGTTCAACACAGCTTTTCGCTGTTTGGCGCCAATTGGAAATAGGCAACCAGGTCCTTCCCTATCTTGTCTTTTCAATGGGGTACAAGTCTTTCTCTTCCTCGGCTTCAACAGGCGGATATTGCATCGTGTTTGCTTTGAAAGATGGATTACTCTTATCCATCCAGACCATATGACCAGCGTATCAGCTGTCTCTTGATTCTCTGAACTATGTAGCCGTATATCTCACACAGATGATCATTCCATCGATAACGGTATTCGCCGTTGCCGATCTTGCCATAGTCATGTATCCACACCTTACAGGAGGACCAAATTAGGATCTGTTGATCTAAGCGAGTCTAGGTCGCCGAAGGGGTGACAGCCCTTGGCCGGATAAAATACGGGTTAACTCCGGTGCATTAAACTGGCTACCTGGAGAGTTGTATGAAGCAATTGGCTGGCTGGTCCTTAACTATGCTGCACCGATCTGGGCGTCTGTGACGAACAAGATGCAGATGAAGAAGTTACAGGCTTGCTAGGACACTGAAACTCAGGACCGCGACGGGAAGCCTCCTGATGTTGCCGGAGCATCACTTGCGCAGCAAAGCTTCTAAGGAGCAAAATGCTTTGCTGTATAAGCAATTCCCTTTAGGATGCTACCGTGGGAAGCATCCCTATAGGCATCTCATTGAAGCCGAACCGCTACCCAGACACACCAGAAAGGTAGCACTCAATGTGAAGGGCGCTCCAGCTGCTTTGGGAGACCCGCGTGTTACTGCGGATAGCCTCCGCATGACACTAACCCCCTCGATACATAAATCCCCCCTCTCCCTCTGGCCCGATTCTGTTGAAACATCACGTTTCCTGGACCTACCGTTGGATGTCCTCAGTGACTTAGGTTAATTAACCTGTCTCGAAGCGTGGTTAACGAGGCCGCTAATACCACAATAACAACCAAAGTAGGACCTGTTTAGCAAGAGTGATTTTGAGCGGGATTTCAAGGCTGACATTGTTGTCGTAGTTATCTACGACTTCAACAGTGATATGGGAGTCGAGTTATGAATGCGATGACTGTTTGTTTGATAACAACATAACTTCTTGTTGTCCTACCAGACCCAAACATTTCGCTTCTTTACTTCTTTCTCTCGGTTGTTGAAGCTGTTGATTAAATAAGTTTCATGATAGGTTGGTACCGAACGGATCGGAGAGGACCTTCCCGTTGCACGTCACTCTACATAGCCGTAAAAGTCTCCTGTGGATACCAATGGGTCTTTTCCATTTCATTTTGCGCATGCTGAGTACCTGTTCAATTGTGGATTTTCTAGGCCAAATCCTTGCTGATAAAGCCTAATCAAATCAATGACGATGGGCTTTAGTCTTCAACTTATACGCTCGATTGGGTATCAATATACCGTTGTAAAGTAGACCGCCTGTTTTTTCTCCACCCCAGGACTTCAATCCTTATCATACCAGCTCTTGGTTTTTCCGACAACTAATAGTTTTCTGATGTCGGTAGTGATTCCAGCTACAGGCCGTGATAGCTGACTGGCATTCATTGCCGCATAGAAGCGGATACTGGATACATAACTTCTGTCTATCACAACATGATCGGTTTGGTTTTGAGTTCGATAAGATGACTGCCAAGTAGCTTGGCAAGTTTTTCTTTGCTGGAATCTGGTAGTACTGAAAACCATATTTCGTGCCTCGGACAAGTCGATCAGCCACCTATTAACAGAGATTTCCTTGTGGAGGATGAATTTTCCGAAAGTTATACCTACCCGGGCGTTAAAATCACTAAACACGACAGTCATTTGTTAATGTCTTTTGTTTCATGCGGATTACTGCAAGATCTACCGGGGTGAAGACCAGTACTCGACGACGGAGTCTTTCTTCCACCACGAGTCCGGCACCAAATTTGTACTCATTTCCATAGTATTTCTTCGACGGTGGTTATGTCAGTCTTTTGTTTAGCGATGACATCAACCAACTGGGCAAATAAACAGCCGGATATTCCAGGTACATGCCACCAAATTGTGATCCTTAAACATTTGCGGGGTTCGTCAATGGAAGGTTAGTATCACATCCGGTAATGCTAATTTTTTCACTGGAGCTACTTTCTATTGGATGAGTGCATAAGTTCGTGCCCGATTCCGCTGGATGCCGTTCGAATCGTTTAAGAGTGGCGCTCGTGAAAGGAATATGTACATATTATATATCGTTGGAAAGGTGACAGTCCGAACGGTAAATCAAGCATAAAATAACTTCATTTTGATTTGAGTTGCTTAGTGAAAAGACGCATGGAAGATGGACAATGAAAAAGATCATATGCACCTTCTGATTATCACTTGTTTCGATCGCTGCAGAACAATTTGAATTTTAAAAATGTAAAAAACGTCAAAAACCACCTTGACACCTTTTTCAACGAGAAACCGTGCGATTTCTATGAATCAGGCGTACGTAAATTGGTTGAACGTTGGGAGTGGACTGACGAACATGATGGCGAATACATAATTGATTAATAAAAGCGCTTTCTTCAAAAAATTTGAATTTTAGTTCGCACTTGAAATCGGGCACGAACTTATGCACTCATCCAATACATGGTGGGTCCCAAACCCAGCGCACAAACTCTTGACGCAAGTAAATTCCAATATTTTATACTTTTATATAGCGAGCCGCTTGCTTCAAGACCAGCGCCAGCCTGTTGAACAGACGCTATAATTAGACTTCAGCGAATCTTTCAACCAAATAAGTCGGAGTGGCTCCACTGCAGCTTCCTCTCTATTAGCCGTGACTCAAGGGTCCACACTTGCCGCATCCGGCACAAGGGCTGCTCACGTTTCTAGATTGCGCGACGTGGACGAAGAGTAGGAATTGAGTGTAGCCCGCGACTGTAACTCCCATTACACCCAGATTTAAAATACAGTTGTAATATTTATAAACAAGAAATCAATTATTTTAGTTCTTTCTCCGGTTTTTATCAGCAAACATTTTGTTGTTATGCAAATCCGCGCACATTTGCCATTAACTACCCTACTCCTATTGGTAAAATTTATATCTTCAACTACTATGTTGTCACAATGTCGTTGATAACACTTTACACAAACAAATATTTGCACGCATAATTAGTTGATATTAATATGTCAACAGTATATCTACGTATAAAAGAAAGAAGAAGAAGAAATAACACAGAAAAAAATGCTGATTCTAAATACAAATATTTGTTGTTGTTATCGCAATATCGCACACTATTCATCAAAATTGTTATGACGTTCAACGGATCAATGCGTTTGCTTGCGCAAGCATTTATGTAGCTGTGTATATGTGTGTGAACAAATTCGTATGTGTTCGTGCAATGTACGGTTGGGGTTACTCTGAGGCTCACTCGTGCGTGGAAAGGAAAGAATCAAGAAACAAATTTTTCATACAAACATTTAAGTGTAAGCAATATTTCCGACAACAAATTTTATGTGCAAACATAAATATCCATGCAAAACGCTTTTACTCGTATGTGTGTATGTAGTAGGTCATGATGATGCTTGTGGATACGCAAAATAGTATGCTTTCCATCAACACTTGAAAACAAGAAATTCATAAGTTGATATATGCACATAATGCATACATACATATATACGAGTATGTATATATATATATTTGAAGTATTTCTCTCCACATATCCTTAATTCATTCATTTTCATTCCAAACGATTGAGTTTGAAATTTTATTGCAGTTGCTCAGAGACTCACATTGTATATACGAGTACATACACCCACACGCAGAAGTAAACAAAGAAACAATGGTATTTTTTTTAGCTTAATATGTGTATGTGCTTTTACACACAAAAGTAAGCAGCTCAGACTATTATACGCATATAAATAATATATATATATATATATTAGGTGTAGTAAGAAGAAATCCATTATATTTTTTTTTGCATGAAATTGAAGGGCTTAATTATCAGAGTTAGAATGATCCAATTTAGCTCAAATATGCGCCGTTTTGTTCAATAACTTGTTGCCATTTTAAAGGTAATTTCATTATGCCCCTCTCATAGAAGCCCTCCTTCCTATTTGCAAAAAATTGAAACAGTAAATTTTCACAAGCCTCGCTGGAAGCGAATTTTTCACCAGCAAAATTGTTCGCCATGGAAAGGAACAAACGGTAAACACTTGGCGCCAGGTTCAGAATATAAGTTGGATGCATAAGAATCTCCCGATCAAGCTCTCGAAGCTTCCGGTGAGTCAACAATTCTTCTAATTTTGGCCAAAGCTGGTCCCTTCTGGGCGATTGCTTCCTTCAGACAGTCCAATTGTTGTCAGTAAAATGCCAAATTAAGCGTTTTGTTTTATGGTCGCAGCTCATAGTAGATAATTCATTACCAATACCACCAAAAGCACAGAAAAACATTACTGGTCACCTACCTGGTCACTCTCCTGGTCATCAATCTTGGTTTGGCCACCATTTCCGCCGGCTCACCGCTTTTCGACTACGACCGTTTTCACACGACGTTGTCGTAAATGATAAACTTTTTATGGAGAGCCACCAACGGCTTCAGATTTTGGGCCGATTCACAGACGGAAATTCGGTTCATGAGTTTTTTTTTTGCGTTAACTCGTGTGGCACTCATATATTGAGCTTGTTTTCGTATCCAGCCTTATTCAAATAGTTCCAAAAGGGTTTTTTGTGCAAACTTTAGCCCTTGGACAATCGAAACAGTGCCTACATAGCATTCCAGTATCAGGAAGAAAAACAGCCATTCCGAAAGCTTGGGTGCAAATCCTGTTGTC